TAAAAACATTTGCAATCCCATACTACCCAGAGATAGTCACTGTTAATATGGTGATGCACTGCTTTCTATCTAGATCAATGAACAGATAGAGAGGATTTATGTAAACTTACTCAACACATTTTCAAAAAATGGTATCACAGTAACAGAGTTTTATAACCTACTCTTCTCTTAATATCGACTTTAACTTGGTGGACACACTTTTCTTTAGAGGGCTAAGAGAATATTATCCAGCTTTGTTGACTGCTGATAGGAATAGAATTTAAAACCATCTCCTATAAATGTACTTGGGATTGCTTTTCCTGAGTACACTTATCTTCAATCTTCTATTTTGCCTTTAATCTTCTATTATTTTTCTTCCCATTTAGGTTGTCTTTTAAGTTAATCCTATGGTTCAAGTTTATCAGCTTGATTTTTACTTACTCATAAGAACTGCATGCCATCTGTGAACATTTAAAGAAGTTTAAATAAAATCATCCCCAAACTACTTCCTGGAAGAGTCTATTTGTCCACTCAGAGGAGTGTCTATTTATCTTCACTCTTTGTTTCTTGCTTCTTGGCCAAATAAAAAGGTCATGAATAGGGAGGGAACTGGGATTTGAAATCTGACTAGGCTTTTTAAAAGTTTAAAAATATCATATTTTCTGCAACTGTAGTCACAAACATATTTCCTCCTTTAACTTGAATGCATTATTCCCCCTTTCTATAAAATATGTTGCATTTGCTGTCATCCATGTTGGCTTTGAACACCCATCTCCCAATTGTCCATGGAGACACGGATCTGGTTTGATGGCTCCAGGGTCCTCCCTGAAACCCTTTTCCTGACAGGAACCCTAAGGATACCAGCCAATGCCCCAGAGAGCTATCACTTACACACTAAGTTTCTTCAACACACTTGGGTAATGGCCACCTGGTCTTAGTGATTTCTCTGTGTCTAGTCTGTGGATTAGATCTGCAATATCCTGAGTACTTATCATTTGTTCTATTTCCTCCAATGTGATTATTGCTTGAGAAAACCTGGGTGTAAGAATATTACTCAGCAAAAGGTGAAGCAAGGAATTCATTTACCCCGTATTCTTTATCTCTGAGTATATGCTTGGTATGATGTAAGCCAGGTGCTTCTACAACTCTCATTTCACAGTATTTAAGAGTCCTTTGCTATTGTTTTACGAATCCACTGCAAGGATTTTTTTCAAATTCATTTTTGGCTATCTCATTTTTGTGTGCCTGGGATCTGTCGCCCTTTGCAAGCTTGATTCAGTAATCTGACCCTTCAAAAATTTCTTTTTCATTACATATATCTAAGTAAGAGCTCTTTTTATTTTTTTCCTATGTAATCAGTGTTTCAAATAGCTTGAATACAAGACCTTTATTTTTTCATTATAAGTTCCCATAAGGAAATTCATATACTCCCCACTTTTCTCTGGGTAATTTAATTTCTTAAATATTTATTTCCATTTTTTCCTCTTTCATGTCTGCATTGAATTATCTTTCAGAGAACTGATTATGTACTTTCTTTGGAGTCCTCTCTCCTATTATAATATCATATTGAATTGAATTGAAATATATATATATATATTCCTCATTATGTGGTCCAATCTGCATTGCATCTGCAAGGCACTCAGCGAACATTTCCAGAATGAACACATGATACCAACAGCTAACAATCATGGGGCATTTACCGGGTGTCATGTTCCATGCTAAGCGTTTGACATGCATCGTGTCATTAATTCTCAGGCACTACTAGACTGTAAACATCATTGGCAAGGAGTTTGTCCATGTATCCTTAGCACCTACAGCAGTGCTGGCATTTAGTAGATGCTCACTGAATATTGCCATATGGATAAACTGAAAAACTGCATGAGGTAGGTGTCATTACTACACATGCTTTACACATAAGAAAACTTACATATTTTCTTATGTGCCTCTCTGAACCACAGAGATTCAATCACTTTCTGAGGTCCCACAGTTAGTATGTGAAGCCAAGACTTGCTTCCAAAGCCCACATACTTAACTAGGACATATTACTAGTAAACTCAATACTTACCTACATTAAGGCAAACAAAACTAATTCTATTTATCTTAACAAATATTATGCAATGTCACAAATAAATATTGTGAGCAATAATCTCCCAAGAAAAGATTTGCAAATGATGGGTTTTTAATAAATAATCAGACAGACAGATAGATAGAGATCTGTATGCTCCTTATTGCTAACTATGCAAGTAAAAACAGGATTTCTCTCTAATCAATATCTTCTGTTGCATTTGTACACTAGTTAATGAGGATTTCAGGACTTTTGATAAATGGGTGTTTGGTTTTTTTTCCTGAGTGGTTCTGGGTTTATTTAAGTAATCTGTTTTGTCAGTTCTTTTTAACATAAGGACAGCACTAATGAAATGATCATTTATTAGGGCTTGCTTGTAATTGTCTATAGAGTTTATGAGGAGCTTCTGCTTATAAAGTGGGAGACTTACAGGGGCGCCTGGGTGGCTCAGTTGGTTAAGCGACTGCCTTCGGCTCAGGTCATGATCCTGGAGTCCCGGGATCGAGTCCCGCATCGGGCTCCCTGCTCAGCAGGGGGTCTGCTTCTCTCTCTGACCCTCCTCTCTCTCATGCTCTCTCTCTGTCTCTCTCAATAAAAAAAAAAAAAAAAAAAAAAACACTTTAAAGTGGGAGACTTACATATTTCTGTCACTGTTACAAACATCTCTGTCACTACCGGTCCCTTGATTTTTCCTGAAACACTACCATTTGGACATCATTCTTTAGGGTTTTGATTACTTATATATTTAACAATTCATTAACAAAAATAATATGCCACTTTGAAAAGGATAGTTCCTTAAAAATAATATTAGCTTTCTCCTTAAATCCTTATCAGCCTACATCTTAGTGGGAGTTAAATGATATTCAGCAGAGAGCAAACCTTTTTGAGAATGGTACATAATGGTCCTGAAGCCACAGGTTGAATAGTAAAAAGTAAAAAAAAAAAAAAAAAAAATACTAAAAATAGTAAAAATTAGAAGTAGGAAAACACTGAAGAGGTAGCCCACATGAAGGAAGGGAGGGAGCAATGGAAGTAAGCAAATAGAAAAAAACTTGAACTCTACTATTCACCTTGGAAAAATCATAATCTCTGAGAGCCTCAGCTATCTACCTGTAAAATGGGGGTGACAAAAATATGACTTCCTCACAGACACTTTAATAGCAGATCTCAATTTGCCGTGTAAACTGTGTAACATGATACAACATACGTGTGGTTTTTTACTGACATTATTTGCCCGTAATCAGCCCCATTTATGCATTCTGTAATATAAACGTTCATCTTAAAAAGACTGTCAACAGCTTCAAAATACAGACCCACAAATCCTATCTGCCTTTTTTTGGTCTGGAAGCATTTCTGATATTTTTAACCCAAAGAACCAATTCACAATTTTTAACAGCCGTTGTGTACCTACAAGCTCGGAAAGCTTACTGTGTGCTCTGAGGACTAGAGTTCGATAAAACCTCTGTTTAAACAAGGAAGCCTCTTTTGAGTCCTGTTTCAGTCTGGTGCCTTTGGTCAAGGTGGAAACTAAAATTGAAAACAGATAGATGTTTTACATTTAAATGGGTTTAACATAAATGTGCATTAAGCCATTTCATGGACGATTGCACAAATATCTTTTGCAAACTTGGTTCACGTGAGCACATACACAGGAACCATTAATGTCTTCTAGAGAAATAAGGTGCAGATCCAAAATTTTAAGCAGCTATCTTGAGTCCTCTCACTCGAAGGAAAATGTAATGGCTTTAAGGGAATTGCTCTAATAATATCATGGCATCTGCAATGGCTGGCCAGAGCAGAGCAGAACAGAGTGTATGTCACCATAGTTCAATTTAACAAGAAATAAGCTTCTCCCTGGAGAATCTAAACTCCCTAGTCTCCCACAAAGAAAATTGAATTTTGGAGGTCACACTTTGGGTAGGTTACCGGATGGAGAAGCTTAACATTCTTTTTGTCATATGCTCTGGGAGGTCAATGCTATTCTACCAACAAATCGCTACCAAAGATCTGCTGCCCGCTCAACCCCCCCTCCCAAAATTTTAAGAGCCCTCGTAGTACCCTAGGAAATGGCAAATGATTGTGACACTTAAGATACCTGAGACCACGCCAGATACCATCACGTAGAAACATCAAGTTTTGTACCGCGAAGTGAGGAGAGGGGTAGATGCCTGGGGTGGGGAGTGGGGAGGGGAGGAGAGCTAATGAGACTGTGGTGGGGGTCAGAATGGGTCAGATAGACCCACAGAGAGAGAGCTTTAGGCTAAAATTGACTGTTTAGCCAAATGTAAATCAACTGAACTGCTGTTACCAGAGAGAAAAACACAACGCCAAGTCAAGCCCTGGCGAAGCCCTAGCTCTGTGGGTGGACTGCCCCTTCGCCGAGTCGCCCGGGTGGGTGGTCGGAGGGCCTGCAGAATTCCCGCAACGGCTGGAGGAGCCCCAGCTTACCGCATCTGGGGCAGCGGCCCCGGGTGGGCGCAGCCAGGCTATCGACACCCCCACCCCACCCCCCGCAGCAACATGTGGGGCGCTGCCACTCCGCCTCCCAGTAACTCCCTCCGGCTGGAGTTCCTGGTGGACGTACACTTGGCCCTGAGAAGGTGCTGAATTACTCTTGGGAAAGATTCCTCCAGCGTTTAACTTGGCAGCGCCTGACATTTCCATCCCACCCCCTGTGAGCCAGCACTACACACACGCACACACACGCCCCTCTAGACCTGCCCAGGCTGCGCTCAGTACCGGCTTCCCACTCGGGGACAGAGCACCGGAGCGGGATGCGGAGGCGAGGACCCCAGCTCCGCCGGCCCCGGGAAGGGGCGGGGGCGGGTGTCTTAGCACTGGATAGTTCCGGGGACTAAGCCCACTGCCTGCATGGCCCAGAACCCGCATTAGTTAGGGCCGCTGGCACCAACCCAGTCTCCTTTTGTGCTCTCCCGGGAAGCCCGCCTCTACTCACCCGGGCTGCGCGCGGATTCCGGCCGCCAACGGCAGCCCGCTGCCCCATCCCACGAACACTGCGGCGCCCCCAGACTGTGCAATGCGGAGCCCCGCCAGCGCGCGGCCGGAGCCGGGGAGTGCGCGGAGGGAGCGAGGGAGGGAGGGAGGAGGAGGGAGAGACGGAACGCTGCGGGGAGGGGCGGGGGTCGGCGGGGGGCGCGCGCGCCACTCCCACTCGCGCCGGGCACTCGCCTGCGCCTGCTGCCCCGGCCGGTCAGCCCTGCCTCGCGGGCCGCGGGACCAATCAGCGCGCGGGGGGGGAGCCGAGCCCTCCGCGGGGCGCGCTCATTGGCCCGGCGCGCTCGACCCAACTCCGGGAGAGTCGGCCTGAGCGCCAAGTCTACAAACTCCAGCCCGCAGGAGCAGACCGCCCGGCCCAGGTGGGGCGCCCCGCTCCGCGCTCTGGCTGGCAGAGGGAGTCCGCCGAGTTCGGTGGCGGAACAGAGAGGATTTGAGACCTGCCCCTGAAGGCAGTTCCCAGTGAGCGTTCCAAACCAGCAGTGTTTGCTCAGGTTGCACCGATTCCTTCCTGTGAGCGACCCCCTACGCCGCTCGCCTCACCCTGGCTAGCAGTTGAGTGATGGAAAGCTTGGCAGTGTGAAATGGCCCCAACCAAATCCTACTCCTGGCCACCCCCAAGGCCGCGCGAAATCCGCAGCACCTAAGAGCTGGAAATCAAGTCCCGCTCTGAACCCAGGGCAGACCTAGACCTTCTGACTTTGTCATAGGAGAAAAGACTGCGGGATGGACGATGGACCGATGGGAGAAAGCCTGGGAGGCAGGTCTTCCTGAGAAAGTGGGAATCTAATTGTGGTTTTGATAGGCATAATTCTCCCACCCTCTGCCAAACCCTACTCCAGGTAAAGGCACCCTCCACCCCCGCCCCCGCCAATCTCTCGGGAGGTATTGAGTTTCCTCTTCCTTGTTGTAAATCAGGTTTCACTCTCCTGGACTTTTCAATCTAAAGCCTCAAAGTAGAAAGGGAGCATAGCCTTTCCCTCCTCCCCCTCTGAGCACTACCCGAGCGGGGGGCGGGGTGGGGGAGGGCGGAGGGGTTGACCGGAGAAGAAGAGAAGATCCCCGGAAGGTCCCCCACCTGTCGCCCCACCTCTGCCTGGTACCTGGCCTGCAAGACTACCTTCGCTTTAGGTACATTTGCCCATCTATGAGGCTCCTCTCTCTCCTCCTTGGACTTTCTATTTTTCAAGCTTTTTTCAGGTAGGCCTGCTCTGAATCTTCCTGCTTGTGCTCTTCCCCTTAATCTACTCCCTCTCAACGTAAAAATGTCTTTTTTAATTTTTTTATTTAAATTCAATTTAATTAACATAGTGTATTATTAGTTTCAGAGGTAGAATTTAGTGATTCATCAGTTGCATAAAACACCCAGTGCTCATTACATCAAGTGCCCTTCTTAATGCCCATCACCCAGTGACCCCATCCCCCCACCCCCCTAGCAACCCTCAGTTTGTTCCCTATAGTTAAGAGTCTAATGGTTTGTCTCCCTCTCTGTTTTCCTCTTATTTTATTTTTCCTTCCCTTCCCCTATGTTCATCTGTTTTGTTTCTAAAATATCTTTTTTTTTTTTTTTTAACTTCCCTCCCATTCCCTCGGTTTGGAAGGGACTTGGATAAGATATTTTTGATCAACAGCTCCTGGCCCCAGAAAATTTTTCTCTTACTTAGTTTATGTGCCCAGGTTTACACAGCTCAGGGTTCAGATGGGCAAAAATAATTAGCACTCCTTTAGAACCTTTGCACACAGGAGGTGATCAGTGTGCGGCTGTCTTCCTGCAGGGCTCAGCATGTTGAATGAGCTGAACATGAATTAATCAAACTGAAACTGATAATGTCCCTCAGCAACTAAGCAGATTACCTCTGCAAGTTAGAATCTGGTACTCATAAGGGCATGTCCTGGGTGTCATTGCTGTCACTTAGTTTACAGGAAAGAAATTCCTCCTTGCAGAGTTCCTGTCCCTTGACCCACCCAGTTCACTTGATTTTTTACAAAACTGGCTCAGCTCATAGTTTAGTCAAAACTTAATATTCGCATTCAAAACGCATGAGTGAATGAGACTCTGAGTTCCTGATGGAGCTAGAATCCTTAGGATTTCTCTTCAGAAATGTGTTTTAAAAGAATGAGAGATATGTCCTAGAAATGTCAGCAGTGGTTATCTCTGTGTGCTAGGATAATAGATGGCTTTTTTGGTCTTTTTCCTTATACTTTACTATATTTTCTAAAGAACATGTAATACTAATCAGGGAAAAAATTTAAATATGTTAACTCCAAACACAATACTCTTCAGGCATCGTAAGAGCTAAAATATGAAATCCTCCTTCTACTTTACCCTTCACATCTTATCAATCACTAAGTCCCATAAATTCTGTCTCCACCTCTCCAGTACCCCTGTCATCTCTTATCAGCTTCAGCAACAGCCTTAACTCCTCTACTACCTAGTCAGCCCCCACGCTGCCTTCTCTCCTTAAGGTGATCGTGTCACTGAAAAGTTTAAAATCTGGGGCGCCTGGGTGGCTCAGTCGGTTGAGCATTGGACTCTTGGTTTTGGCTCCGGTCATGATCTTGGGGTCTCAGCATGGAGTCTGCTTGGGATTCTCTGCTCTCCCTCTCCCTTTGCCCCTCCCCCAGCTCTAAAATAAATAAATAAAATCATTAAAAAAAAAGCTTATTAAAATCCATCCGTCCCCCAACTTCATTGCTATGAAGTTCAAAGCTAGCCTGGTTAGCAAAGCCCTTCCTTCCCAGCTTGACCCCAGCCTTCCATGTTGGCCTCATCTCCTGTCCCCCCACACTTCTCCACACAGGATGATCCTGCCCCCCTGCAACTTTCTGTCCTTCCCACCTGTATCATGTGACTTCACATGTCCATGGCTAAGACTGTACAGTGCAGGAACGCTGCTCTTCTCTTCCTCCTTTCCCCGTGCCCATCCCCCTAGCAGTTCCTACCTCTGCTTCAGGACCCATTTCAAATATCACTTTTTTAATGAAGTCCTCAAAACTGACAGGGGCAGGGTTAGCAGCTCCTCCTCTCCATACTTCAATAGCAAATATTTTATTTATCCAGCAACTGTTCATGCAGCTCCTACTATGTGCCAACCACAATGAAACAAATGTACATCGTATTCATACTGCTGGAACACACCATGAGAGAGACAAACATTAAATCAAGTCACACAGATAAATGATTGCAAACGGAGATAAGTGTGATGAAACCACTTCATGTGCAAAAAAAAAAAAAAAATGCATGGTTTACTTTGAACATACGCCAACCATAATTCTTAGCACATTGTGTTATAATCCGTTGATTTGTTTGTCCAAAGTTCTATCTCCCATCATATTCATCCGTGTAACCCCATCCAGACCACAGTGCCTGGCTCATAGTACATGCTTAGTAAAATTTTTTACATAAATGGACAAATAAGTAAGTGGGTATTTAAATCCCCATGAAGCATCTTATTTCATGTATTTACATGCTATTATTGTATAAAATCTAAAAGACTTCATTTCTGAGTTTTCAAAATTCGTATCATTAGGTCCTTGTCTCATCTTTCTAATTTGGTTCTAATTTGGCAACATAAATGATCTAATTTCTTCTCATTTGATGTCACATTTAGAAGAAAGAGCTAATGTACTACTTGTAGATAATGTATTGTTGCCGGGAGAAATTTATTCCTTTGTTTTTTATAAATTTGGCTTTTAACGTATAAAAATCCAATTTTAAGATACAAAGCTAAAAGACACAAAGTACAATCCATAAAAGAATAAACAAATTGGACTTTATCAAAATTCAAAATGTTTGCTCTGCAAACAACACTATTGAGGAATGAAAAGAAAGACTGGTAGAAAATATTTGCAAATCATATATCTGACACAGGACTTGTAGCCACTGTATATAAAGAATTCTCAAAACTCAACAACAACAAGATCAACCAACCAAATTTTTTAAATGGCCAAAGGATGTAAACAGACATTTTACCAAAGAAGATATACAGATGACAAAGTGCAAACAAAAAATGCTCAATATCCCTAGTCATTAGTAAAATGCTAATTAAAACCTCAATGAGATACTACTATACACTTAATAGAATGACTTAAAACACACACACACACACACACACACAACTGATAATACCAAATACTGATGAGGATGCAGAGCAACCAGAAATTCTTGTAATTTCTCGTGCTAATGCAAAATGGTACTGCCACTTTAAAAACAGTTTTGGGGCACCTGGGTGGCCCAGTCATTAAGTGTCTGCCTTCGGCTTGGGTGGTGGTCCTGGGATGGAGCCCCACATCGGGCTCCCTGCTCCGCAGGAAGCCTGCTTCTCCCTCTCCCACTCCCCCTGCTTGTGTTCCCTCTCTCGCTGTGCCTCTCTCTGTCAAATGACTAAATAAAATCTTTAAAAATAAAATAAAATAAAAAGAGTTTCACAGCTTTTATAAAGTTCACTATATGCTTAGTCATACGACCCAATATTCCCACTCCTAGATCTTTACCCAAGTGAAACGAAAGACCTATGTTCATACAAAAACCTGCTAACAAAATATTTATAGCAATTTTATTATTAAAATCTTGAAACAACCCCAAAGTCCCTGAACTGGGGAATAAATAAAACTGTAGGACATCCCGAGAATAGAATACTACTCAGTAATAAAAGGTACAGACTATTGGGACAAACACTGTCTATCTCAACACATCATGCTAAGTAAGACAAAACAGACTCAAAAAGCTAAACGCACACACTGGTTGGGTATGGCGGAGCAGTGAGATAAAAGCACTGTAGGTTTTGCATGACGACAGAGTCACAGTTTGAGGTCTGGATGATCTACTTTCATATGAGGCAGTTGTTTAAACCACTGTTATTTCACATTTCTTGTCACACAGAGCTAAGCCTCATTTTCCCTAATATAATGAGTGCAGGAATTAATCAATTAATGAAGATTTCACTAAATGCGGTCTTTGTACAAGAAGAAACTGTAGACTCCTATCCACTGAAATATCACCAATGCCTCACACAATGCCAGTACACAGAGTGGG